AAGGGACATTTTGTTCTATCACTGGAAGTGGCCTCTGGACAATCTTATTTTCAGTAGAGGTCAAATGACCCGCGTTTCATTTCCTTAACTCTGGATGTAGGTGAAAGCATGGCACAGAATCATGTCCAAACATGCGACAATGGGAACAGTAGTGAGCATGTTTTTCAAGAAAAATTTGTTGCCAGTAACCAGTATGTGTATAACCTATCCAAACCTCCTCTGAATGTGGTAAACTGACATCTCTCTCAATTAAAATTCTGGCCATGGAGGGCCTTCTTAAATTAAAAGTCAGCATCTAACATCAGTGGTTTGCCAAACATAGCTGCCAGAGAGAATAAAATCTCATGATTAAACAAATGCACTTTTAAACCAGGTAGACGAAGCCAAACAGGAATAATAGGAAGCTCAGCTTGGGGGTCGAAATCAGTAGTTCATTTTAGGACTTACATTAAAACATCCTCAAAACGAACAATTCTACAAGCAAAGAGGTTAGCATAGTCATCCTCGTTAGAAAGTTGAATTAGAATATGTCAACTATCGAGAGCCCCAATCTTCCAACCATCAACCAAATTCATGAGTTCAAAATGCTTATGAAGAAAATCAAATTTCGGTGGACCATAGAGAAATTTTCCCACAAGATGAAAATGACAAGAAAAGGCCATAATAGTGTTCTCAGAATCAGAAAGGAAGAGCGCAAACTTACCCCCCTTCTTCCACTGCTTCTTAATGAAGTCATACTCCCCTCCAAGAACTAAAGATTCATGAAAAGAAGTAGGGAAAGGAAAGCAAACTTTGGAGTAGCACCGGAGGAGCCTCCGGCAGTTACTCCGGCATAAGACCTTGTCATAGATCACAAGAACTAAAAAACCAAGGAGCAGGAAACAAGCACGAAGGAGTAGCCAAAGCAATAAGGCAAAAGGAAAGATCTCACCAACATCCGACAGACGAAAAGAAGGCAAAAGGAAAGATCTCACCAACATCCGGCAGACGAGACAGAAGGAACACCGTCAGCATCCTGAAATCGCCGCAAGAGCACCAAGAATCTCAAACCCTAGCAGAGCTGATACTAATCTTATCAATCGTTCCTGCGAACATATTACTGAAGTTGGTCTCTTTGATTTGGGTTTCTCAGGTTCTCCTTATACTTGGAGGAGAGGCCTGCTTATGCAGAGACTTGACAGTTTTTTGGAAAACTCTTTTTTTCTTAATTACTATAATATCATTCATGTTAAGCATCTTAATCATGCTGCCTCTGACCATAATCCTATTTTGCTTAGCTTGGCTTTTCATTCTAAACCTGCCCACTCTTATTTCATATTTTTCAATTTTTGGACCTCTCATCCTTCCTTTTTGGGTCTAGTTAAACAAGCTCGAAGTACTGGGTTTTGGGGCAGCCCATGGTTTATTTTGTGGCAATTGCATAAAAATGCGACTGCTCAGTTGCGAAAGTAGAATTGGCAATGTCCACTCCAGATTTTTGCAAGCTCAACAGAAGGTGGATTTGTTGGAATCACGGGTTATCTGCAATTCTTCTCTTGTTGAAAATGTGGCTCAGATTCATCAAAAATTTCTTAAGAAAATTCCTATTGAGGAAGATTTCTTAAGGCAAAAAGCCAATGATGTTCATTTTTTCAATGGTGATCAAAATACTAAATATTTTCATGCTACCATCAAGCATGGAAGGAATATTAATTTTATTTTTAAAATTGTTACAACTGATGGTGTTGTCCTTACTGATGTAGATCAAATTGGCTCCAATGCTGTTGATTACTTTACTTCTCTTTATGATGATGTTGTGCAGGTCAATGCTATTGATCCTGATCTGTTTGTTGCGTGTCATCCCTCTCTTTGTCTGACCCTCCTACTGAACTGGAAATTCTCTCTGCTCTCAAAGATATTCACTCCCAGAAGGCTCCTGGTCCTGATGGTTTTACTTTTGCCTTCTATATTTCTTGCTGGGACATCATAAAGAATGAGGTAATTCTAGTCATTCAAAGTTTTTTTCAAGGTGAAGATCCAAGTAAATATTTAAATATTTCACTGCTGCCCTGGTTGTGTTAATTCCAAAAACTACTGATAAATTGCACTGGAAGAATTTTAGACCTATCTCCCTAACTTTTGTGGTATCCAAGATCATAAGTAAATTGATTGTGGCCCGTTTAGAGCCTCACCTTTCCTCCCTTATTTCCCCCCATCAATCGGCTTTTGTTAAAGGCCGAGATATTTCTGATAATATTTTGTTAGCCCAAGAAATTATTGAAGATCTTGACAGTAAATGCAGGGGTGGCAATTTGGTTATCAAACTGGATATTAAAAAAGCCTTTGATACAATCAGCTGGGACTTCATCATCAATGCCTTGGTGGATAGAGGTTTCAGTGCTAGTTTTTGCATGTTAATTAAAAGATGGTTGTCCAATAACTATTACAATGTTTTCGTTAATGATAATTCCTATGGATTTTTCTCTGCTAAAAGAGGTATTAAGCAGGGGGACCCTCTCTCACCTACCATTTTCATCATTGTTTTTATTACTTATCTAGTTTACTCAATCGTTTTCAATTGTTTCACCCTCACACACAGTTCTCACACAAGGCTAAGACTATGGTTTCCCACTTAGCCTATGCTGATGATGTTACCATACTTGTTAATGCATCCAAACTTGCTATTAAAAGATTAATGATGCTCTTAAATGAGTTCCAAATTACTCTAGTTTGATTTTTAACCGTGACAAATGTCAGCTTTATTTTGGCAAGCATGTCAAACACTCTATTGCAAATTGGGGCCCTTCCTTTACTGGTTATTAGCACGCCTCCCTCCCTTTAAAGTAACTTGGGGTAAATCTGATTAGGGGTAGGAAAAAGCAAATTCACATGGATGATGCCATTGACAAAATTAAGCATAAGATAAATGACTGGAGGAATGTCTTCCTTTCTACTGGGGTTAGGCTAACTTTACTTTCTAGTGCACTACAAAGTATACCACTCTATGCTTTACAGGTGTTCAATCCTAAGAAGAGTGCCATGAAGGTTTTGGAGAGGCTCTTTAACAGATTCCTGTAGGTTGGGAGTGGTACTAAGAGGATTTGGGTTTCCTGGCATAATATTTTTAAACCCAAAAAAGCTGGGGTTTAGGGTTATATGAGATGTTAGTGGGTGTTTCTTCACGCCACTGGGATATTATCTGTACTCTCAAACGAATACAAGTTATAATTGATAATCGCCATCTGACTGTTAGATGAAGTTTTATTCACAGGGAAGGTAACTCACCTGTTGACTGGTTAGTCAGGCATGCGGGTGAAGTGAGTTTTGTTGGTTTATCCCCCCCTCCGGCTTTTACTTACTGGGGACTTTTTGGATCTGCCTTATGTTAGAAATTAGAGGTCTTACCTGCCTATTGGCCTACTTCCCCGTTTGGAATTTCTGCTACGCTTTTGTCCTTTTTACCTGCAGTTTTTTTCTTTGTTGTTCTCTCTTTTCAAGCAGGATGAATCTTTTCAAGCAGGATGAATCTTTTTGCTAGTCCTCTTATTTGGATCTATTTTCTGTTTTTTGGATACTATTTTGTTGGTCCTCTTATATCTGGTTTGCCTCTCTGATGTCTGGTCTCTGATGTCTGGACAGACTTGGGGTGAAGCTCTTTGTAATTTTTGTCTGATGCCACTTTCTTGTCTTTCCTTTAATTTTTACCTATTTTTACTAGATTTTGCACAGGTATACTTGTTTTGGGTTTTGTATTTTGTTTGGGTATACTTGTATTTTTTCGAGTTTTTTTCTTTGTGTGAGTTGTACTATGGGAGAAGGAACCCCTAGGAGTGAATTTACAATGTATTTTTTAGCTTTTAAACTGGGGATCCACCTCCCCTCCCTCTCATGTACTTTTTCCTTATTTTAACACGCAGGGAACCACAAGTGCTCTTACCTCGGTTGAAAGCCCTAACACTCACGCACGCGGCTCAGCTTCCCCTTTCTCATGCACGAAGGCTTCATCTCCTCCACTTGAACCTGCAAGCAGAGCTGCTAAGCCTCCTGCTTCGCTCGAGATCTCCTCTTCTCCACCTTTCTTCCTTCACCCGCAAACAGGCCACTTAATTGACCCTCTTCATTTGCTTCTTCCTCTTCTTCCTTTGCGCACATCACACTAGGGTTCCTCATTTATTCCTCCTTGGTACCACTCGGTTTCTTCTTCACACAAGCTTTGAATCTCATGTACGAGAAGCACGCCACTCCTCTCCTTCCATTCCTGGCTCTTCTTCACTATCGTTGCTTCCTTCTCTTTCCTCCCGTCTTCCTTCACTCGACGACAAGTCGCTCGGCTCAAGAATGTCGGCTAGGGTTCAGCACGACACATTTCCTCGGCTCAACGGTGGCGTCGGATGAGAAGCTCCTCAAATAAAACCACAAGTTAGAGCCAAAAACGACCTGCCTCCCTTCTTCCTTCTCCAATTTCTTCTGTTCCCGATCTCTTTCTCGCACATTCTCTGTAGGTGACGAACGAAAGGAGTCCCACTTCGACTTCTAATAGTCGAACCACTCAATGGTTATACTTTGAATCGATTTTTATTTTTATTTTATTTTATTTTATTTTATTATTATAGCATATATTACACTAACAGCATTGACATAAAATGACATTTTGTTTGTAAAAAGATTCAACAAATTTTGATTTAGACAACTCATGTAAAGACAATGGGAATAACTAAGGGACATCTTCACAAATGTCTTTAATGGAGCTAATGCCACTTATATTTCTAACAAGTTGGGCATGATAAATATTTATACTCCAGTTTAAGGGGGAGTGTTATAGAAATACTAAATCTAAAGTTCGTATATTAGGAAGTTTGATCGTAATCTAATTAGAAGAGATCTAATTACAAGATATTTTCTATAATTGAGATATTTCTAATCTATAGAAATGGTAGTATATGTAAATATGTAATGTATATTTTCAATTGAAAGATAAGCAGAGCTGCTTCCCTTTACAATATTTAATTTTATATACTCACCGCTTGTTCAAAGTCTGCAGACATGCCCATAGAAAGCTCGCACTGCTCCTCCGGTATACCAAGAGCTTCACACACCTCAGTTCTACAATTACGCAATGTCTGCTTCAAATAAATGTAATCAGACAAATGAAGACAATGAAATAATCAATAGCAATAGAATACTGGTAGCTAGACAATACCTTAAAATTTTCTGGAGTTGAGGAATAGTCTAGCATTCCTATTGTCATCAGGCCTGAGAATATGAGGCTAGGACAGCGCAGTTTGACATGCTTAGCTAGCTCGACACATCCCGAGGGTTCTACACCATATTTTGCTGCAAAGAGCCGCTCAAGTTTAATTAAGAATTAAAAGGGTTTCGAAGGGAGATGTATCAATGCTAACCAAAACCATTTTGCAAACACATACAAAATCTCATCAATAGCAACAAAATTACAAAGGATATCTTTTGTTTAGATCTTTCATAGGCCATTGAACAGTATGGAAACCAGTCGGAAAGCATAAATGCTTATATACTTTGGAGAACGGACTAATATTTGCAGCTGAATCATTTATAAATGATGAAGATAGACAAATATGGAGATCGGAATTTATCTAATGATAACAATATTGCAGCCGATGCTGAAATTCAAAATATTATGTTGCTAAGACGTACTAATAGTGCCTAAAGAAAAGGTGGGTCCCGCTTTCACAACTTACACTCCTCCCCGCTAGTATTCACTTGGACCAAAACCTTGAGAGGCTTTCTTCCCAAGTTGGCAACAGCTCGATCAAGATGATTAGCAATCTGCAAAAGCAAAATTTAGTTGCATTAATGTTCACATTGTGAGTAAAGATGGTTGATTAAAATGATGCTACATTCTGAATCTCTTGAATGGGGGATTAGAATTTTTTTAGGATTTCTGATATGTGGTGTTAAGGTTTGGCGAACACAATGGTTTTTGACATGTTTGATGTTAACAGCATTGACCTTTGAAGTTGCAATGACAGCAGCTAATTAACTTGACAGAGAACTTAAACAAGACTGAAAATGGAAGATAGTCATCGTTTGTAGGAAAATCTAAAGATTGAATGAAAATAGTCATTATTTCCATCTGACCATATGCTACAATACTTAATTTCTCCATCTAATAAACAAAACAAAAAAAATTGTTCCAAATCTCAAGTTCCGTTGAAATGAACACGACATTTGTTTTGCCTGGATTATAAATGGGAAGTTAATTTTAAAAGTTAGTAAAAGTAAAACAAGGAGTCATTCATACGCCAAAGGAGACAACAACAACAATAAGCCTTTGTCCCATTAAGTGGGGTCGGCTACATGAATCTTTTTTCTCTATTTAATGTGACCAAACCATCTAAGACGACTCTCCCTGATCTTGTCCACCACTGGAATTACACCAACCCTATCACAGATATATTCATTTCGCATTTTGTCTCTAAGTGTCAAGCCACTCCCATTTTTCTCATCCTCTCACGCTGCCTACACGGTACAACCACAATCAGAGCTCTCTGGGAAGGCTTTGAGCTAAGGATCGCAGCTTATAGATACCTAGAAGTCCATCTTGCAAGGGCATAACTTGCAGGATCACTCGCAAAAGGCTGGATCACGTGTAGAAGACTGGATCACAGCGTGTAACAATGAAAAAAAGACAGGATCGCCACTTATCGAGACCCTACATACCGACTACACAATATATTTACGATTAGAGCTATTGGGAAGGCAAAAACGGGGCTTGTCGAGACATAGAGCTATCTGGGAAGGCAGAAATGAGGCTTACCGAGACCTGACGTGCCATTTATGTGATATATTCGCGATCAAAGCTATTTGGGAAGGCAGAAATGGAGAGGCGGCTTACCGAGACCCAAAACTAGCAGTTTTCTTTTCCCCACATGCGAGACAGTCGCAATTTGGATCGCGGCGGGTAACTGGGAGGCAACGACAATATAGTTGCTTGTCGAGATCCAGATCTCCCTGCCTAGATGAGATCGCCTGCAGAGCATCCTCGGCCTGCGAAGTGATCGCGACTCACTATGAGTGCGACTATGGGAGGAGAACGACATGGCATCAAAGACAGTAGATGACCTGAAGAAGAAATTGAAAAAAAAGATGAATCAAATAAAATTTGGGATAGAAGAAAGCTTTGCCATCATAAAGGAAAAGTTCTCTTCTATGGAGAACCGACTGGAGGATTGATTTTAGAGCATAGGGGAAATGCAAGAGATGCGAAAGAGGTTCATTGAGATGCAATCCAAAAACCCATCGACAGCTCAATTTACAATCCCTAACTAAAGGTTAACTGGAGAATCCGTGACAAGATCAAAAGGAAAAGAGGTCGAAGGTCAGGAACATGAGGAAAACATCCACCATCACGAACCTCTTCTCAGAGCTCCAATTAGGGGTGTATTAGAGACTTCTGATGGAGGCGGTTGGGCCGAAACATGAAAAAGAGATTGTATCAGAGATGTGGAGAAGCACGAAGAAGAAGGGAGAGAAACGGGGAGGGGATATGGCTACGGTCGAAGGAAGGAGTTTTACCCTTGATACATGAGAAGAAATAATAGAAGAAGAAGTTAGAATGGAGAAGTTAGAGTTAGGAAGTTGAAGATGTCGATCTTCGAGGGGGAAGACACACATGAGTGGGTTTATTGGGCGGAGCGACACTTGCGGTGAATAGGTTAGAAGGGGAGGAGAAACTCATGGAGGCAAGTTTGTGTTCGGAGGAGAAAGTGATAACCTAGTTTCAGAGGAGGGAGGGTAGATACCCGATTTGTTCATAGAATGAATTTTAGGATTGTTTGTTGGAATATTTCAGAGCCATTTGGGAAGGAGACCTACACGAGTATTTTTGTACCTTGACCCGGGAGAGGATGGTCATGGAATATAGGAAGAGATTTGAACTATTATCGAGATGACCGTGGAGGATTTCTGAATCAGGACTAGAGGGAAATTTCATGAAGGGCTTAAAGCCCGATATGGGCACACTCCGACTACTAAGACCACGGGGATTGGAGGAGATGATAGAGCTAGCCCAGATGGTGGAAGACAAGAACTAGATGAAAAAAACAAAAAAGAGCAACACAGATGAAGCGTCGTACGTAACTGTTGCAACCACGACGATGCCAAAAGTTCAAACAGTGGAAGTCCATAAGGAGGCTGCACTGGACATGACTAATGTACCACAACTAGGAGCAACACTCAAGTGTCTTACATAGACAAAGATTCGGTATATGCGAGCCAAGGCGGCATGTTTTCGATGTGATGAGAAGTTTACCCCAAGGCACCGTTGCAACGATCGAAGATTACAAGTCCTTATAATATAGGACGAGGAAGCAGAAAATGAAGAAATAGAGACAACTATGGGGAGGAGAAACTCTCATTTTTTCCTAACATGAAGACAAGGTCTGTTTTTTTTTTGGAGGAGGAGTATAGTTACGAGAGCGCCTAGCCTAATGGTTGATTTGTCTCTTGTATGCCTAAGGGCAATTTAGTCATTTATTATTATTGCTGGGTATAAATAGGTTAGTTATGTCCAGGGTTAGGAAGATGCATGACATTAAGTTGTGAGTCATGGGTCTAGAGTTTGGGAGAGATTTCCTACCTCTTGAATTGTAAAAATTGGGAGAGATCGGTGTGATGAGAAGTTTACCCCAAGATACTGTTGCAACGATCGAAGATTACAAGTCCTTATAGTATAGGACGAGGAAACGGAGAATGAAGAAATAGAGACAACTATGGGAGACGAGAAACTCTCATTTTTTTTTCCTAACATGAGGACAAGGTGTGTTTTTTTTTTGGGAGGGGAAGTATAGTTACGAGGGCGCCTAGCCTAAGGGTTGATTTATCTCTTGTATGACTAAGAGCAATTTAGTCATTAATTATTATTGTTGGGTATAAATAGGTTAGTTATGTCCAGGGTTAGGAAGATGCGTGACATTAAGTTGTGAGTCTTGGGTCTAGGGTTTGGGAGAGATTTCCTACCTCTCAAATTGTCGGTGTTTATTTTTGTATTCTTGTTGAGTTATTTGGATTATTGTAAGAAAATTGTGTTTGCCCTAATTTCTACAAAAATCTATGTTGATTTCTACGTTGAATCGTAAAAATGCATTCATCTACTTCAACCAACCAATTTGAATTCTACTAATAAAATCTCCATCTATATCACCATCACTTTAAAATAGAGACCCGAGAAATCTAAAACGATCACACCTTTTAATACTACTACTAAATTACATTCAGTATTCAACTTTAGATCTACTCAAACAAAGACCTTTAGACTCCAATGTGGACCTCCATAACTCAAGTTTGTTCTGAACTCTTTCTCTAGTCTTATCCAAAAAAAGGATATCATCCGTGAAAATCATACACTAAGGAACAACCTCATGTAAATGTCCAATAGGAGCATCCATAACTAAGGCAAAAAGATATGAGCTTAAAGTCGATCCTTGATGTAATCCAACTGAAATAGGAAAATAGTTTGTTAAACCTCCTTATGTTCGAACATAAATAACACCTTTGGTATACATATCTTTAATGACTTGAATATAAGTAATATCAACATCTTTCTTCTTTAAAACTCTCCCAAGGACTTCTCTTGGAACCTTATCGTAAACTTTTTCTAAATAAAAAAAAAATCATATGCAGATCCTCCTTATTCTCTCTGGACTTCTCCATCAAACCTCTCAACAAATGTATGGCTTCCATAACAGACATGCCCGGAATAAATCAAAACAGATTATAAAAAATCATTGTATTACGTCTTAACCTATATTCAACTACCTGCTCCCATAATTTTAAAGTATGACATATCAACTTAATTTCTCTATAATTTGCACACTCTTGTGCATCCCCTTTATTCTTAAAAATGGGAACCAAAATACTCTTCCTCCACTTGTAGGGAATATTTTTAGTTTTAAAATAATATTATAGAGTTTGGTAAGCCAAGAAACTCCCAATCTCCTAAATATTTTCACACTTCAATTGGGATATCATTAGGTCCTATTGATTTTCCACCCTTAATTTTTTTTAAAGTCTTCTCAACTTTTTTTTTTACTAATGCGATGGTAAAAATAAAAAGTTTTATTATTATTAACGTTATTAAGATGAATGAGGCAAATCATATTTTCAAAAACTTCATTGAAAAGTTTATAAAAAATATCATACCCGTTATTAAGATGAATGAGGCAAATCATATTTTCAGAAACTTCATTGAAAAGTTTATAAAAAATATCATACCCACCTATGTTAAATATCTTCCTCTTAAAAACACTTTTTAATTTTCATCTTTAATACACTTAATTTATATCTTTACTTTTCTTTTCACTTTGTTTGACTATTTATATATATTTTTCACCCTCTTTAGTAGCTAATTTATTATAAAGATCACTAAAGGCGTAATTTTTTGTCACAAATTATTCTTTTAGATTTTTTACGGACCACCTTATATTTTTCTCAGTTTTTTAAGCCTTTACATTTAAACTAATTTTTATAACACAACTTCTTATATATTACATTTTCTTGCAGATTATTATTTCACCACAAACTATTTTAATTTATAAAAACCTTTGTTTTTGATTTTCTAAGTACATCTTTTGTCACTTGTTTAATAATATTTTTTAGTTTATCAAACATAAAATTCGCTTCTAAATGAGCATCCAAAATCTTGAAATATTCTTATTTATAACACAACTTCTTGCATATAAAAATCAATTTTTATAACACAACTTATATTTTATCTTTTCTTGCATATTATTATTTTACCATCAAATATTTTTATTTATAATTTTTTT